GGGGAGAGGAGAGAAGAGAGGGGGGGGTGAGAGGGAGGGAGGGAGGGAGGGAGAGAGGGAGGAGAGAGAGAGAGGAGAGCCTTTGAGCCTTGGCACCAGCCAGGCAGTTGATTTGGCCCTGGCACCAGCCTTGGCAGTTGAGTTGGCCTTGGCACCAGCCTTGGCGGGCGGGCACGCGGGACATGCACAGGCGCCAAGGGGCGCGGCGCCGACAATCACGGCGGTGATTGCGGCGCAGGTGGGGGGACGGGAAGTCCGTCGGCGTTGCCGGGGGCCCAAGGAAGCGCGAGGGAAAAATTCCGCCGCTGAGGGCGCTCGTGCGGCAATAGCCGGGTGGAGGGGGAGCGTGCCGGACGGGGCGTCGTCGCGCCGTCCGGTGGTCTGCTGCCCCGCGCAGCAACCGTCGGGCGACGACCCGGGGGCCAAAAACCCGGCGACGACGGCGCTCTGGATGGGGCGTGACCTCCTGCCTCCAACCTCCTTCCTTTTTGAGCAGGTGTGACGCCGCGCGAGCGACGCTCCGAGATCGCCCGAGATAGCGCGGCGCGGCCCCGAGATCGCCCGAGATAGCGCGAGATCGCCCGAGATAGCGCGGCGCGGCCCCGAGATCGCCCGAGATCGCGCGAGATCGCCCGAGATCGCGCGGCGCGGCCCAGGGCGGGGTGGATGGGTTGGGAGCGAGGGGGCGGAAGTGTTCAGTGCGGTAGATGGCGAGCTCGAGGCGCGTGAGCCGGACCTGTGAGCCGGACCACCCCCTCTTGTTATCTGCGTTGTTGAGCCAGGACTCAACATACTCGGGCTTGCGAGTCCCAAACTGTCACTCCCCTTTCTCCCGGCCGGGGTGGGGCGCGCGCGGGGGCGGCGGGTGTGCGGCGAGTGTGCGGGATGTCTGTGGGCCCGAGAGCGATATGCCATGTCCGCCTTGCGTTGTTTCATTACATCGAAGGCTAAGCTCAAAAAAACACCGACCCTCCTTGGGCTCCGAGAGAACCTTGTTGCCGCCGACCTCGGCGACGCCCCGACAAGGAGCCCTCGCCGCTACCCTAGAACCCGACCTCGGCTGACGCCCCGACAAGGAGCCCTCGCTGCTACCCTAGAACATACATGGGAGCCTGCGGCAGCAAACGCGCACCCAACGTGGAGGAGCGCTCCGAGCGCCTGCACGAGTTCTTTGGGGCAACCATCGATTGCGAGGTCCGGCCTTCCGGCCTCGGCAGCGCGGAGGCTGTGGCGCAAGACGCAGAGCATGGCAAGGCCGCTCCCTCGGCTGCCGCGCCGGCGGCAGCCGAGGGTGGGCCGTGCGTATTCGAGGGCATGCAACCCGCCGGCATCAATGCGCGGCTGTCGCAGGGCGCTCTCTCTCCCGAGGACCTCGAGATCCAGCGCACGGAGCTCAAGGAGGCGGCAAAGCTGATCGACTCGATGGGCGCGCGCGGCGAGGAGGCGGCCATCCTCGCGCCGGCCGAGAAGGACGGCTGCAAGTACGAGCTGGCCATCAACTGGGAGTCGTCGCACGTCGCCCTCGTCACCCAGAAGATGCAGGCGGTGCCGCTCTCGATGCTCGAGTGCGTCGCTCTCGTGCGGGAGCCCGACCTGATCCCGCTGCCAAAGTGGCCGGGGCTGCCTCGGATCGAGCGGATCGCGCTGGTCCACGAGTTCACGCCAAACAACGTCGTGTACCACGTCTCGATCGAGCCGTGGGGCCCCTTCCCCGGCTGCGACTCGGTCTGCTGCGCAGTCGGCTTTGTCCGGACGGACGAGTCGGGCAAGGCGTGCGTCGGCTTCGCGCGGTCGCCGCCGGAGGACGAGCAGGAGGTGCACCGCGGGTGGTCCGTCCTGCCCAAGCAGAAGCGGCGCACGCGCATGCAGGTCGACGGCTGCGCCTGGGTCGTCGCCCCTTCCGCCGAGGAGGGCAAGGTGGACGTCACCATCTTCATGAAGACGCGCATCCCGATCCCGCACTGGCTGGTGCCGCCCGCGCTCGTGCGGTGGGTGACGCCAAAGGGTGTCCGGCGCATCCTCCCCCTGCTCACCGC